CCTATCTATGAGCTTTTATTGCTAAGCCAATTCCAAACAGTGATGGGGAAATTAGCCCCTCGGCACCACAACACACTGAGCTTAGAAATGCAGAGAAATTTAAAAATGCAAAAATAGCCCTAACCGGTTTGGCTCAGTGGATAGAGCATCGGCCTTCGGACTGAAGGGTCCCAGGTTCAATTCCGGTCAAGGGCATGTGCCTTGGTTGCGGGCACATCCCCAGTGGGGGGTGTGCAGGAGGCAGCTGATCGATGTTTCTCTCTCATCGATGTTTCTGACTCTCTATCCCTCTCCCTTCCTCTCTGTAAAAAAATAAAAAAAATATATTTTTTTTAAAAAAATGCAAAAATATCACATGAGGTACTAAAAGACTATAAAAATATAATACAGCCAAGTGAATTTCTAACCATGGGCCTGATGATAACTTTTATATACATTTGAAACATGAATTAACAGTTTCTACATTTAGACTTACAAGTGAAAGCTGGTATTCCTTCTTCTATGGCTTTCTCTTTGTTTTTCCTGTCATTTGTTATTAAGATGACTTGCAGTTCATTCTCTGCTGACATTTTCTTCAAATGTTCATTGTACCATTTTGCTGCTACTCTAATGGCTCTATCATTCCTGTCATTAGCATTTTCTCCCTGTTTTTGTTCTATGTAAGTTTCTCTAAATGTAAAGGAAAGAAAAATTATTTTATAAAAGAAATGAAAATCAATAAAAATAAGCATATGTAAAAAATATTAGGATATAAATGCTTAATAAGCACTAAACTTAAAAGTCAAGGGTATATCTTTTTCTCTTGAATGTAATTCAGATTTATAACTCAGAGAGGAAATAAATAGGATCCTTATAGTTAAGTTTCTAAGACAACAATTTGCTTAGAAAAAGAAAATCATGTTATTAATGGAATGATTAAAAGGCTAATTTTATTTCACCAGAAGGAAAATCAAGATCAGAATTTATACTCAGGTTAGAACATCAAATAAGTAATGGTTTGTTGGAAAAAACTATAATAAAACTTTGCAGGTCTGATAGTGAGATTTCATTTGAACTGTAGGTTAATAGTAATTCCTAAAAGCTATAAAATAGTACAATTACATAATTTATTATCATATCATTCTATAAATATATAATGAATGTAAATTATCCATGATAAACACACTATTAATGCCAGAGGCTATCTAGAGAATAAAAGACCAGATACAGATATGACTCCATATTTTCTTTCTAAGACTATTTACTCTGAACTCCCAAATATGTCAGCATACTCATCATTTACTTGAATCTATTTTACAAGCCAAATTTAAGTACAATATCAAAACTCAGTACAGTAACTTCTAGTGCTTAAAAATAATAGATTCAATTTAAAAATTTTAGACTTATTTATAATAGTTTTTAGAATTATTTTATTCACCATTTACACCTCCTAATGCTTTGAGTGTAACAATCAAAGACACTGTCCTAAATTCTTGAATTGGTTTTAGCATGACTTGAGGAAAAGAATCTTAGATGATATTTACCTAAGTGTCCTAAGATCTAAGATTTTTCCTGTTAACCCCAGTATTGCTAAACTCTATTCACTGCATTTAAGTTAAGAAAATAACCCCTCTGCCGAAGCCGGTTTGGCTCAGTGGATAGAGCGTTGGCCTGCAGACTGAAGGGTCCCAGGTTCGATTCCGGTCAGGGGCGTGTGCCTTGGTTGCTGGCATATCCCCAGTGGGAGGTGTGCAGGAGGCAGCTGATCGATGTTTCTCTCTCATCGATGTTTCTGACTCTCTATCTCTCTCCCTTCCTCTCTGTGAAAAATCAATAAAATATATTTAAAAAAAAAAAAAAAGAAAGAAAATAACCTCTGATTAGGGATCTGATCTGATGACCATGCTCCACAGAAACTTGGTCTTTCTCCACTGAAAAACAAGTAACATTTCTACTTCTAGATTTCAAGCTAGGACTAAGATGGCTACAAGTGTTTTACTGATGTTCTTTTTAAAGAAAGTTTGGCTTTTTAAAATATGGGTTTTTTTAATTGATTTCAGAGAGAGGATGGGAGAGGGAGAAAGGGACAGAAACATCAATAATGAAAAAGATCATTGATCAGCTGCCTCCTGCACGCCCCCTATTGGGGATAGGGCCTGCAACCTGGACTTGTGCAACCTGGACTTGTGCCCTGACAGGGAACTGAATGATGACCTCCAGATTCATGAGTCTAAGCTCAACCACTGAACATTGGCTGGGCAGATGTTCTTTACAAGAACAATTTTTTTTTTTAAGCTTGGGATATAAGAATAAAGAAAAAAATTGAGAAACTAACTTTTTAATTTGCATATTCCAATGGGATTTCATTACCAAATCTACCAGCTAATCCAGTGGTCTAAATGGGGGTGATTTTGCCCCCTGTGAACGTTTGACAATGTCTGGAAACATTTGGGTTGTTACAACTCTGTGGATGAGGGGGAAGGTTGCTACTGGCTTCTAATGGGTAGAGGCCAGGGATGCTGCTAAACATCCTATAACACAGGAAGACAGCCCACCCACAGCAAAGAATTATCCAGTTCAAAATGCCAGCCGTGCCAAGGTTCAGAAGCCCTAATCTAATCTAATAAAAGCATACTAAAATGCATCACAGGTTTATGTAACATACATGGTGACATCTATTTTCGAAGATCACATGTTATGTTCAAACACAGGTCATGAATTCGAAACATAACAAAGAATTCTATACTTGAATCATATCTTCTTCAATGTGATCAGTTATAAGGTATTAGTTTAACTTGTAAAAGCCCATGAAGAATAAAGCTGCTTTATATTTAAAACCTCCTTCACAAACTTACACTTTTTTAACCTATGCTGTCTATTCATATAACATGGTATTCCAGGAACCTAGGCAAATTTTATCTGCCATCATTCTATTGCTGGACTCATACTAAAATCAATTCAAAATGAAAACATTTTAGAAATAAAAGTACCTACTATAGCAGTGATGGCGAACCTTTTGAGCTTGGCGTGTCAGCATTTTGAAAAACCCTAATTTAATTCTGGTGCTGTGTCACATATAGAAATTTTTTGATATTTGCAATCATAGTAAAACAAAAACTTATATTTTTGATATTTATTTTATATATTTAAATGCCATTTAACAAAGAAAAATCAACCAAAAAAGTGAGTTCGCGTGTCGCCTCTGACACGCGTGTCATAGGTTCGCCATCACTGGACTATAGCATAGGAGTAGGAGACCCTGGTTCTGGGTTTGATGCAATCAGTGCCTAGGGGACCTTAATTAGGTCTACTTAGCAATACCTTCTGTACAGCTGTGTGAGAACCAAATAAAATTCCTGTGGGTGTGAACCCTATCAGAGAGCTTCTGGCATCACACATGACTGACAGGAGCCCTCCTCCACATGTAGATAATTCTGTGGTTTTCTGATAATTATCATAATTTTCCTCCTACCTATGGTGCTCGTTGGTGAACGTATAGAAATGCTTCTCCTGGTTACTAGTCAAATCTCGGATTCTTTTATATACCGGGGCACTGCGATTTCTCACTTCTTGCAGAACTGTTTGTAGTACAATTACATTCCTGATGGCAGGGTCCTCAAGAACATCAATCTTAAAGAAAAGAAGCAGAACAAAGAAAAATTAATTTTCCTATGTTCATTCGTAAATTGTTTCTGTCTGTCGAACATAAAACTCCATGGGTGTAAAAAAAAACAGTAACGATAGCCTGGCCGGGTTGCTCAGTAGTTGGAGCCTCCAGGTACCCCAAAAGGTTGCGTTTCCGATTTCCGGTCAGGGAACATCCCTAAGGTTGCGGGTTCGATCCCGGTCATCCTGCTGGGCGCGTGTGCGAGGCAACCGATGGATGTTTCTCACATCAATGGTTCCCTCTTTCTCTCTCTCCCTTTCTTTCTCTAAAAATAAATGACACATATCCTCGGGTGAGGACTAACACACACACACACACACACACACACACACACTAAATGCACACTAAGGTATGGAGAGATCTTGCTATAGAAAACCCTTAGACATGTCAAGCACAGGTAAACAGACTAATTCTAAAACTTCGCAGAACTAAGTCCATTAATGAAGAAATACGTCGGCCCACATATTTTCGTTAGTAGGCACTTACAAGCTGCCTGGGGGTCGCAGGCTGGAGGCCACAGAAGCCAAGTCCCCGGCCTCTAGACAGTTACAAATCTAAGGCAGAAGAGACACCAGGAGTTAGAGAAATAACGTATCTAAAGTCCTTCTGATCCCAAGAACTCAAAAACACCACCTACAAGGACGAGAAGCTCGTCCTGGGGGTCAGGAGACATGCGTCCCCGTGGTCTGCCTCTCCCTGAGCGCGTGATGCTGCCCGAGACCGGCCTCCGCGGGCTCAGCTTCCCTGTCTGTCACACCCTTTTCCGGGGCCGGGCCGCGTGGACCAGGCTCGCGCGCCCACGCACCTGGTGCAGCAGCACGTTGGTGTCAGGCAGCAGGTAGTGAGGCTGCGGGCAGAGGCTGCTCGCGGGGTCCAGGGGCTGCGGCTCGAGGACCGGCCCCTCGTGCGCCCCGCCGCAGGCCGCGCACCCGGGCGCCCCGCAGCCGATGTCATCCCGCAAGTAGTGCTCGCGCACGATCTTCATCACGCCGCCCGCCCGGGTCTTCTTTAAGAAAGTCTTAGACTTCAGCATCTTGCCTCGCGGCGCGGAATCCCGACGGCTACCCTACCGCGCTCTTCCGGCGACCGGAGTCAGCTCGGAGCCCTGTCGCACGACTATCCTTTACCCGGAGGTTCGCGCCTTCCCGCTCCGAGACACTAGCGAACACTTCTCGCGGGAAAACGTCGAGATTGATGCTGGTTGGCTCTCCGGGGGTTGCGAGGATTGGGCAAAAGCGAGGATGGGCGGATCTCGGAGCCATTTCCGCCCACGATGTGGGCGTGGCCCGCCTCTGGACTCCAGCTCCCAGCATGCGTTGCTTCCGGCGCCTGGGCGGATCCCGGCCAAGTTCCGGCGGCGTGGGCGTTTGCAGACTGCCGCTTCCACGGTCCTCCTCTGGGCGCCCAAATGGTTGTCTTGGTTACGGGTCCCAACGGTCCCCCACCTGAAATTCACTTTTGAGGTGCTGCAACCTGAGCGGCTGATTGAAGACACCTTCAGCTCCCGGCAGTGGCGGCTGGTCCAGCCTTCGACGGGGAGTAATTGAAGCTTTCGAGGTAGCTCTCGGCTGTCCCATACCCGCGGGTGGACAAGGAATTCCCCCGATGCTGCCAAGTTTGGGTTTTCTTCGCCCTGCATGTGTGGGCAGTATCAGTCCCTGATCCTTTGAGACCCAGGTGGTGTTGCCTGTTTTGATTTCATCCAGTTCTTACCCTTTGCCCTTTAAAAAGGAGGGAAGCCGATTCAGCCAAAGTGCTTGCCATTTCCCCTCCATACACACATCCTTGGGTTTAGAAAAACTGTTACCAGCAATACCGTAAGCAATTCATTATATCGTGTGGTATTAAAATAGAGGAGTTGTTCAATTCTTCTGGAAGGGTAAGAAGTTCGATTTAGAATTCTTGAGTGCTTCTCTTCTACCCTCTTGTTTTCATCTGCTATCTGCAAGCCTCTGAAAAATGATTTTATGTCACTGCTTCCCCTTTTAAAAAATCTTCAGTGGTGCCTCATTGCCTGCAGAATAGATTTCTAACGCATTTGACATTCAAGGCCCTCCACAGCCTGGATTATTAAGGCTGTGTGTGTGTTCGGTGGGTGAGGGAGTCACTAACTACTCCGATTCACAAAGACTTGGCCCCAGCCTGACCCCTCTCTCTCCCGTTGTCTTTACACTTTCACCACCTCTCCACCAATCTTAGCACCTGCATGCTTTCCCCTTCTTCCTACTCCTCCCCAAATCCTCCAAGATTCTATCTTCTATCTTTGTATAACCTTCCCCTGATCAACTCGGAAGTGATCTCTCTAATATTGAACATGTGCTGCTTTTATTGGTAGCATTAGAGCTCTATCCTTTGTCTCATATATATGTCTTTGTCTCCAAGTATTCCTGCGCCCAGGAACTGGGTTTCTTATTCATCCAAGTGCCTGAGTTCATAATAGGATTTAATGAGTTTGATTTAATGTGTTCTATCTGAGCAATAATTTACTAATGTGTCCTAGATTTGGGGTCCTCAGATTGCCTTAGGGAATCCTCAGGGTCTCTGTAATATGCTTTCCACAGAGAATGTTTGAGTACATTTAACTTAATATTTTTTAACCTACAGAAAACTGAAATAGAATTGGAGAAGAAAACTGATCCACAATAATGTCTCGAAAAATTGCCAAGGCATCAAAAACAGTGAATGTCTCCAGCTCTCTGGAATCTGAAGATATTAGTTTAGAAACAACAGTTCCTACAGATGACATTTCCTCATCAGAAGAGCGAGATGGTAAAATCAAAATCACCAGGCAGCTAATTGAACGAAAAGAACTACTTCATAATATTCAGTTACTGAAAATAGAGCTATCCCAAAAAAATATGATGATTGACAATTTGAAAGTAGATTATCTTACAAAGGTAAGATCAGCTGTAAATTTTGTATTGTTTTCAAGCTGCAGGTAAATAAGAATTAAATTTTTATATATATGCCCAGAATTTGAAATTAAAAATTTATCATGTCAGGAAAGTAATTATATTTTCTTGCATAGCTTTCAAACACTGGTTTTAGAAGTGTGTGTGTGAATATTTCTGTGTATCAAAAAGTACTGAAAGAAGAGGTGACTTAAAGGTGGGCAGGGATGAATTGCTTCTGTAGACTCCATTTTTTAAATCTAGCATGTGTGAGATACGTTTTCTTACGTGTTTTTTTTCTAGCCAAGTTTTCTGCTTTACTGAGAACTAACCCTGATGTGACTAGTTTGATAGGGAAGAATCAAGATCATAATTATTATTGGATCTATATAGTTCTCTACTGTGGAGATTTGGTTTCTTTGGTATTTTTCTACTTGATAGTTACTATATTTGTCTTTTAATTTGATAGTTACTATATTATAGTAGCAAGTGTAAATTCAGTTACCATAGTCTTTAGCAAGTGGTGTTTGCCAAATAAGAAGGTATGTGCCCTTGACCGGGAATCAAACCTGGGACCCTTCAATCTGAGGGCTGACGTTCTAACCATTGAGTAAAACTGGCCAGGGCAGCAATGTCTACTTTAGATAGGAGTCACAAACCTTTTCTGTAAAGGGCCAGAAAGTATATGTATATATATATAATTGTTGTTGTTAATCCTCACTCGAGGATATTTTTCCATTGATTTTTAGAGAGAGTGAATGGGACAGGGAGAGACACAGAGAGAAACATCTATATGAGAAAAACACATTGTTTGATTGCCTCCCACACACCCCTTGACCAGGGCAGGGGATCAAACCTGCAACAAGACACATTCCCTTGACTGGAATTGAACCTGGGACCCTTCAGTCCGAGGGCCAACACTCTATCCACTGAGCCAAACGGGCTAAAGCCAGAAATTAAATATTTCATGCTTTGCATGCCACATATGGTCTAGCACATATTTTTCTTTGTTGTTTTTTTAAACAACACTTTACAAATTAAAAACCCATTCTTAGCTCAAGGGCTGAAACAGGACATGGACTGGATATGAGCCCATCACCATTGTTTAACCCTTGCTTTATTTTAGATTATGTAGTCAGAGAAGCCATTGGAAGATTTTAGGCAATTGGAGTTACATATCCTGATTTTGTATTCAAAATAGCACTGAATTGCCGAGACCGGTTTGGCTCAGTGGATGGAGCGTCGGTCTGTGGACTGAGGGGTCCCAGGTTCGATTCCGGTCAAGGGCATGTACCTGGGTTGCGGGCACATCCCCAGTGGGAGATGTGCAGGAGGCAGCTGATCGCTGTTTCTCTCTCATCGATGTTTCTGGCTCTCTATCTCTCTCTCTTCCTCTCTGTAAAAAATCAATAAAATATATTTAAAAAAAATAGCACTGAATTAATAAACTAAGGGCAGATAACATAGAAGCAAAAGATAGTAATTAGGCTGTTGCCTTATGTAAGACTCCTAAGTTTTTGGCTGCATCACCTGATGCCATTTACTGAGAAATCAAAGCCTGGGAGAACACAGATCTGGGAGGTAAAATATAAGTTCTGTTTTGAGCATGTTAAACTTTAGATTCCAGTTAGACTCATAATTGGAATTGTCAGTTAGAGTTTAGGAAAGAGTCCATGACTAGGAGTGTGTGTGTGCATGTATGTAATATGCATTAGTATATAGATGGCACTTAAAGTCATGGGGTTGGATGACATTTCCTAGGGAGAGCAAAGGGCCCCAAATGCAGCAAACTTGAGAAACTTGAAAGTGCACAGAGTTAGGAGGAAAACCAAAGAGGATTACCAAGGAAGCCAAAAGAAGATGGAGCAGTCAGCTCTCAAATCATGCTGTTGGGTACGATAAATATGTAGAAATAGTCATTGGACTGGGCATTATGGAGGTGATTCATAATTTTGACAAGAATAGTTTTACTGGAATAATATGAGACAAAAGCAGTGAGGGAGAACTTGCCATATCAAAGGTGGCTCATGTTTTTTTGCTTTGGAGATTAAGGAAATGCAAGAGGGATATAAGACTAGGTAAGGTTAATGACTAGTTTCATTTCGGTCAATTGAAGATGGGTAGTAATCAGATATCTATATCTATATATATAAATCTATATATGTAAAAGGCTAAGTGACCGACCGTCCATCCGTCCAACTGTCCAACTGACTGACTGGCTGGTACATATAACACACACTGGCAATTTGAAAATAAACGTTGACTTGCGCATGTGCGATACATATAATGCTCTCACTGGCGCCAATCACACGCGTGTGTTTCGATCTGTCATTGTTGATCGTGAATTTGGTTGTTTTTGTTGACATTCTGAAGCTGAAAGAAAGCGGCATCATCGACAGAATATGTCTGAAGACCAACTATTAAAACAGCTGTCCCCATCTGACACTGGCCTCCCATTTAAATTAATTCGAAGACAATTTCCCGTGATGCCAGCATTTGCGATGACTATTAATAAATCACAAGGACAAACTCTAGACAGAGTAGGAACATTCCTACCTGAACCCGTTTTCACACATGGTCAGTTATATGTTGCTTTCTCTCAAGTTCGAAGAGTGTGTGACCTTAAAGTTAAAGTTGTAAATACTTCATCACAAGAGAAATTAGTCAAGCACTCTGAAAGTGTTTTTACTCTTGATGTGGTATACAGGGAGATATTAGAATAAGTTTAATCAATTTATCAGTCATTGTTTTTATCAATGTTGTTTTTATATCATGGTTTTGTTTTTATATGTTTTTTATAGCATGTCTTTGTTATATCATGTTATTGTTTATTAATCAATTTACATATTATTTTCATATACATTTTACTAATTTTCTTTCTATTATAGAGAAAGGGTGAGTAGCGATATTAAAATATTTCTTATAATTAATGTCCTTTCAATGTGCACAAATCCGTGTACTGGGCTACTAGTATGAAAATAAAGTACAAATGAAGGGTCTGGCTTGGAAATAATTATCTGGATGAGACATCAACATAAAATTCCAGTTGTCAATAGGCTTCTATTCAGAGTAGGTTAAGGGGGAAAAATAGTCTTAATGACACCTGGCAAAAAAGAACATTTTATGGCAGCAGTTTTTAAAACCACAGTTTAAAAATAATTTGGATGAACAGACTACAGTTTGTGGACACAACTACTGCAAAAACACCCTCTATCTCAGTGGTTCTCAACCTTCCTAATGCCGCGACCCTTTAATACAGTTCCTCATGTTGTGGTGACCCCCAATTTCATTGATACAAATTGAACATAATTAAAGCATAGTGATTAATCACAAAAACAATATGTAATTATATATGTGTTTTCCGATGGTCTTAGGCGACCCCTGTGAAAGGGTCGTTCGACCCCCCTAAAGGGGTCGCGACCCACAGGTTGAGAACTGCTGCTCTATTTAAAAGTGTATTTCTTTTAAGTGCTTTTTAATAATAATTTGAAAGATTACCAAATAATTTACCTTTTCTTCTTTATTAAGATTGAAGAATTGGAGGAGAAACTTAATGATGCACTTCATCAGAAGCAGGTACTAACTTTGAGATTAGACAACCAATTGACATTTCAGCAGAAGGATGCCAGGTAAGTTTTTAAGATGCATCAATACCTACTTAGCAGTTAAAAGTAATGTCATTACCTGTTCATGCATGTGATTATAAGCTAAAATAGAGAAATTTTATTTTATTTTTTTTTTTTTTAAATATATTTTATTGATTTTTTACAGAGAAGAAGGGAGAGGGATAGAGAGCCAGAAACATCGATGAGAGAGATCGATCAGCTGCCTCCTGCACACCCCCCACTGGGGATGTGCCCGCAACCAAGGTACATGCCCTTAACCAGAATCGAACCTGGGACCCTTGAGTCCGCAGGCTGACGCTCTATCCACTGAGCCAAACCGGTTCGGCCAAAATAGAGAAATTTTAAATCAAGGTTGATAACAGTTTTACATACAGAACAACAAAAAAGTAGGTTATTTGATACAGTCCACAAAATAAAAAAAGTCAAAATTCAACATTTATTCAACAAACATTGCCAATGTAAGTGAAACATAAGTGACAATGAGAGCTATCTAAATTGATCGCCACTTAACCTGCTGTCTTGATTAACCTTTTTTCATTTTCTCTGCAAAACATACTGATTGATTTTCATGGCCCTTTGAACTCTTCTAGCATAAAGTGTCTCTTTTTGCCTGCATACTTTCTCCAGCTCAATTATCTGCTTACCAAGAATCCATTGTGTTTACTCACAAATATGCTTATGCCAGTTGTATTTATTATACTTATGTAACTTAATTACAATTATGTAAACAAATATGAGTACAAAAAAAAATGTTTCTTTTTTATAAAAACTATAATTAATTCTGTGGAAACATCCAATAAAAAGGAGTGACTAACAAAAAAATCTTCAAAGTAAGAGTAAACAAAACAGATTTAGAAATTGGGAGGCAAAAATTAAATCCATAAAAAGTATCCTCTCAATTTCTTCCCAAGTGTCTTTTAAGGTCTCTTGCCACTGTAAAGAAATTGAACTAGGAAATTATGAACAATGATTTACACACACACATACAAAAAACATACATCCATATTTTTAAAAATCTGGAATCTATGTAAAAAATTTGAAGGTGAATGTTTATTTCTATATTTTAATTAGAAGTAAATGTGTAAATTAGGTATTTTTTCCCTTTATAACATTTCACTCTTTAGCTGATATTTAAAAAAAGTTATCTGACTTAATTTATTAGCCACTATCATGTTATATCAGTGGCTCTCAAACTTTAGATGCATCAGAACCATCCGGAAGTCTTGTTCGGAAACATTGTTGGGTCCCATTGTCAGGTTCTGATTTGGATTGGCATCCAGCAAATTTCCAATTCTGCTAAGTTCCCAGGTGATGCTGTTGTGTCCACAAACTGTAGTCTGTTCAGGGTAATACTTTGAAACACTTTGAAAACCACTGCATTCAGTAATAGGGTTCCTATTCTAATTCTTTAGAAATTTATCAGATTGAATGATGCTGAGAGTCTTGATCACTGATGGGAGTAAAAAGTATATGGATTCTGAATACATTGAAGGTAAAGCTGATATAATGTCTTAATGGATTAGATGTAGGATTTAAGAGAAAATGCGGAGCCAAGGATTGTGCCAACATCTTTGGCCTGAATAAATGAAAGAATGGAGTGGCTATCAGTTTTGACAAAACAAAACAAAACACAGTGGAATAGGTTTGTGAGTGAAAAGCAGGAGTTCATTGTGGACATGTTAAGTTAGAATTATGTAATTAGAAACCCATTGGAATTGTATGAAAAGTCTGTTCTGGACAGAAAAATCTGGGAGTCATTAGTATATAGACTGTATTTTAGTCATGAGACTGGATTAATTCTCCAAGGGAAGACCAGATACTCCAGAATTAATACAAACCAAACAAGAAGACTGAAAAAACACCATCAGTAAAAGGAGAAAAATTAAGAAATTAGGGAAGACAGGCAAAGAAAGTGTATAAGAAAAGAGAGATTCGTTGTATTGTGTTATCATTAGGTTAGGGATGAAAAGAACTGAAAATTGACCATTAGCAATGTAGATGTCATTGGTAACATTGAAATTTCGGTGTGAATGAAGGAGGGAGTTGAAAACCTGACTGACATGGGTTTAATAAAAGCACTGGAGACTGCCTCTTGCAAAGTGCTTGCAAACCTGACACTAGTGGCAGCTAGTATCAGTTCATATCTTGGCCTCTCCCTGATACCTCCAAGCCCAGCACAGGCGGCATCTCTAGATCACTTTGTAGCTCATACCAAGTGGCCCAAGGCAGAGCAAAGGCAGAGGCTGATGTTGGTTTGCACCAGAGCGCTCCCACAAGGCTCTAGAACTAACACACCCGTGGCCAGCTTCAGATCTTATCATACAAGAACACCACCAAACTGCCAACACATGACACACACGAAGGGCAGACTTGGCAGGCACTAGAGTCCCGCCAAAGCAAATCATGCTCCATGGGGTCATCATCTGCACAACAGCTCCTCTGCTATAGTCACAGCCGGTCTTACAGCCAATCAGCCTGAAGATCAATCCCTCCCATTGATATGCCAGCAGCAATCAAGGCTCAAGTAGAATAGGAAGGAACATACAACCCACACAAGGGACACATCAGGAGCATCTGGCTCCCACAGGACATCTATTACATAAGGCCACTCTAACCAAGACAAGAGACATAGCAGCTCTGCCTAATACATTAAAAAAAAAGGGAGGCAGCCAGAATAAGGAAACAAAGACACATGTTACCGAATGAAAGAACAAGACAGAACTCCAGAAAAAGAACTAAACAAAATGGAGACAAGCAATCTACCATACGCAGAGTTCAAAACACTGGTTATAAGAATGCTCAATGAACTGAATGAGAACTTTAACAAAGAGATAAACAAAAAAGGAGATAGAAAACATAAAAAATATCAGGTCAGAAATGAAGAATACAGGAGAGGGAAACAACAGTAGATTAGCTGAAGCAAAGGATCAAATCAGCAATTTGGAAGATAAGGCAACAGAAAACACCCAATCAAAATAGCAGAAAGAAAAAAGAATCCAAAAAATTTAGGATAATTTAAGGGGCCTATGGAACAACATCAAGCATACCAACATTCACATCATAGGGGTATCAGAAAAAAGAGAGTGAACAAAGAATTGAAAACCTATTTGAAGAAATAATGATGGAAAGCTTCCCTAACCTGGTGAAGTAAATAGACATACAATTCTGGGAAGCACAGAGTCCCAACCATGGTGAACCCAAAGCGGCCCACACCAACACACATCATAACTAAAAGGTGTGGAGGACCAAGATGGCAGCGTAGGTAAACATGGATACTTGCTGCCTCCCACAGACACATCAAAATTACAACTAAATTACCGAAGAACCATCATTTAGAACCACCTAAAATCTGGCTGAATGGAAGTCCTACAACTAGAGAAGTAAAGAAGAAAGCACACTGAGACTGGTAGGAGGAGCAGAGGCACAGAGTAGGCTGGTCCAACGCCCACATGGGGCATGTTTTTAATCAGGAGGGATATCTAGGCTGCGGCAGCCTCCTGTGAGGAACAAGGGGTCCAAGCCCCACACCAGATTCCCAGCCCAGGTCCTAGTGCCGAGGAGAGAAGCCCCTGTAACTTCGGGCTGTAAAAACCAGCAGGGATTGTGGCTGAGTGACTCGGGGGCTGCTGGAGACCCAGGCAGTTTCTCTTAAAGGGCCAGTGCATGACTTACTGGAACTAGCTCCCGCTGAGCTCCAATGCTAGGGCAACGGCTTGAGGAGGATCCAGGGACATATGGGGAGGAACTGGATTGTCTGGCATTGGGGCAAGAACTCAGGGGCGGCTTTCTCCCAGACAGGGGTGCTCTCAGAAGTCATTATTCTTATGCTGAGACATACACAGTCACAGAGCTGATGGGTAGCCATAGCTGAGTTTCCATCAGCCTGGCTCACACTGTTGGCTCTGCCCTGGTGATCCTTGAGACCCTGCCCAATCCAATTTGCAGCCCCACCCGTTTGCAGCAGCTTTTCCATATGAATGGCCTGTCCTGGCTCAGGCTTCTTCATACTTTTCTAAAATCTCTCAAATAAACTGCAGCTGGCATCAGCATGCCCCATACCTATCAATAGGAGGCCCAAGTCAGCTTGGCCTTGCCTGGGCACTTCCAAGCCCAACACAACAGCCCATCTGCAAATCGCTCTGTAACTCTTGCACTGTGACCCCAGGCAGTGGCTGACTTTGCACCTCCCAGGGAGGCCCCAGAACCAGTGCAGTTTCGGACCAACACACTCAAGGGGCAGACTCAGTGAGCACCAAAGCCCCACTGAGTCCTGCTCCATAGAGGTGTCTTCTGCACAGCTGTTCTTCAACTGTAGACACATTTGGTCCCTCACAGCCAGTTGGGTAGATGGATGAAAAGGGGGAAGGGGATTAAGATGTGAAAATTCCCAGTTATAAAAATAGTCATGGGAATGTAAAGTACCACTTAGGGAATTTAGTGCCTCTCTCGCTCGCTCGCGCTCTCTCTCTCTCTCTCTCTCTCTC